GGATGCTCGAAGGCAGTATTCTGCTTGCACAGAGAGCGAGTTTCCCGCCCGCTGCCGCCGCGTCTGCCAACCCTCTGCTGCTGTCGCTCCGACGTCCTCACAAGCCGGTCTCCCCGAGCACCGTTGCCGCTGAGGTGGCTCCTCACTTCCATGTCGGATGCTGGTGTGGACACCATCGTTTTTTCTGATGGCACCACCTTCGGTGCGACTGTCCTTGGCTGACAGTCTGTTATTCCGCCGCTCATGATTGCGGCCGATAGGGTCCACGGCTTCAGTCCGCCGTGTTCTTTTCTCCTACACATTTGGGGTTTTCTCCGACCTTTTCCTTTCCAAAGGTCCTGTATATACCTGGTGCACCAGTTTTCCCAGGTGTTCCCACTCTGGAGTTTGCATTGTCCGTTAATTCTGCATAGTTGACAATGCTACGTTGCATTCCATTTTGGTATGATCTACTCCACTCGCCGTTCCGTGCGTAAGTTTTATGATAATTCCATCTGTACTCAGTGATGGTCATTCGGTGGTCTGTGCCTGGCATAGTGTGGGCTGATTATGCTTGTTTATCATGCCACGCACCTTACTAGAACTTTCACTAAGTCCTTGTGTGGACAGTGTGATAGTTTCTTGTTTCCGCTCAGGGTGCGGAACCGACTTTAAACAAGACATAGTTATATCTCACCGGAAACTCCGACATGCAATTTCCCATTTCACAAGCAATGGAAAATTGTGTAGTGAAGTGGGAATTGTATAAGGAGTTGGAGGTGAGATATAACTATGTCCCACCCACCCACCCTGTTTGGGTTTGTTCTCCATGAAAATAGGCCTGAAGGGCCTTGGATGAGCTGCATCAAGTACAGCTTCATTAGAATATTGAACTTTAAAAAAATGCTGTGTTCGAGCATGAAATCGCGTAAATCGCGAGGGCTAGACATAGTTATATCTCACCTCCAACTCCTTGTACAATTCCCACTTCACTACACAATTTTCCATTGCTTGTGAAATGGGAAATTTGTATGCATTATATGCATGTACATGCACATACAGAACTAAGGGCAAACATTGAAAAAACTAACGTTGAGCAATCAAGTAGTGCTACCAACGACACATAAGGGTTGCTAAGAAAATTAATGTGATGAAGTAAGAAGGCTAGCAAACAACGTTGCACTCTAACATGCCAAAGTGTAGAAGAAAACATGATGTTGACGCTTACAAGTATAACCGTAATGCAACAATGTGTTCTTTCTGTTTGCGCAAATCAGGTTTCTGCATACAAATTTGAGCAGCTTCAAGGACTTCAACTGGATAATAATACTGTATTATCTCTAGTACAATCCCAGTCTCTATGATAAGCGCAATCCAAGAGGGCTTCGAAGATATACAAGCGCAGTCTCCAATATAAGCGCGGGGCTTATAGTGGAGAACTGTATGGATCCTGTCCATGCATGTTTGACATCACAAAGTGTCACACACCCACATCTTGTGGCACAAGTCTGTGAACCCTGAGGTAAAAAGAACAGACTCAGTGTACCAGAAAGTACAAAACTGCATTCCCAATACCTGGTGGGAAGCTTTGCGCTACTGATGTAATAGAAAATGATGACCAATGTACATGTTACAGATGGTTTAAAATTATAAGCCCAGTCTCTAGTAGAAGCATCGTCTCTAATATAAGCCCAGGGTCCGGACTGGTCAAAATAAAAATAAAATAATGTTAATAGGTACCTACATTTCGAACAAGTTGCATGTTGCGTGGTGATGTCTGCGGGCTTGGTTCTATTCATAGCTTCATAGCTATTCATAACTTTATTAAATCAGAGATAAAACAAGGGTGAGCCGCAACATGCGGCCTTGTACAGATTCTTTTCGGCTCCATCAACCACCACACCACAACTATGCCCTCGATCCGACCTCTACACATTGCCACAGCACACCATCAGCAAGCGACACATCCGTTGGTACTTGGTTCCTTCATACAGCTGTTTCGAGTACTTCGAGTATAAAACTCTAAGTTCAAATTTTTAAAGTCAACCCTGCCCAAAACTACATAAGCCCCATGTTGGATTTGGAAGCTTGTAGACAACTAGAATAGTATTCCTTTTTTCTTCCTTCAAAACAAAGCCTAAACAATTTAGGCATGCACCCATGTAATCACCACATCACAACTGCGCGCTCCAGCGGACCTTGACATAATGCCACAGCAAACCATCAGCAAAACTACACTTCTTTTGCTACTCAGTTCCTTAAAACAGCTGTTACGATCATCAAGCCAATATTATGATCTCGTCAGTGAAAGCCCTATTTGATTATGTGGCCAGTTTTCTGTGACTGTACGGTACGGGACATGTACAGGATAGCATGCCAGGTATGGCACATCACGTGATGACGGCCCTACCACACACACAGACATACGAAATACAGCGGTCTGGACCCTGGCTAGCGCCAGATGCTACTAAAGTAACGTCTTTGCCGTAGTAAACAAGCGTTTCGGAGACAGCAGATTTAATGTAGCAACAAGGACGACTAAATGCACTGTATGCATTTCCTAAATGTCGACATGTGTGAGTAAAATGTGAAGCGCTGATTGCAAGGCACACAACGATAAGGAAAGAGAGGATTTTTCAGACCTGTTTCTTGTTACATCATCAGTGAATCTACGTAACGGTATGGAATGGGAACCACTTGAAACAAGTCTTATAGGGACAAATAAAAGTGAAAGAAGGGGATTTTTCTCCTTCTTTCACTTTAAATTCACTTTAAGCAAGCTGAGCTACCAGCCATGCTGCAAAGGAGGCACCACAGACATTAAAATATAGCTCGTTGCTCTACAATAATTACGGCTTGAATTTTTCAGAGGTCCTTGATGCTGTAGTGCCCCAGGCTGACCAACTACTGGAAGCATGATAATGAATGGCTAGTTGGAACAATCCATATTATAGAAAGTAAAAAGGACAAAGGAATTACAAGTTACGCTATAATGTCCACTAACACCACCAGTTACTAAACAAATGCATAATATGGTACCGTAATCTCGCGCATATAAGACCCTGGTCTTATAATCGAAAAGTCGCTGTTTTCTGTGCTTTCACAAGTGCATTTTCGTTCGATTATAAGACCATGGTCTTATTTGCGAGAGACAAACATCGCAACGACATGAACATGTGCATGTACGCATTATTCTGGGTTAATGCCAGTACAATGGAACCATGGATGAACTTCGTGTGGTTATGGTAATTTCATTCCCTTATAAGTGCATGTTCTTATAAGCGAGAGTGCTCTTATATTCGAAAATAAGAACATGTCCTTAAATGCGCGAGATTACGGTACATGCTCTAACAGTGCTGCGTGGACCCAGGTGTCATGTCAGTATGAGGCAGGTGAAAGGTACCAGATTCTATCACCATACTAGGCAGTGTGCATGCTTCACAGCCAGGTATGGTTGAGACTCCACAGATACTGGGGGGGGGGGGGGGGGGGGGGGGCGCTTGAATTTTCGATTTTTTCCTGACCCGAACTTTTGTGTGCGTTCTGCCTTTTAGTCCAATCAAATGAACAACCAACAACAACAGACCAAACTGCAATCATCATATACATAGTGGCTGGATTAGCAGGTGCCATCATCATGACTTTTTTAGCATTTTTTATCATTGTGAAAATGGTACGGTCCAGGTCACATCGCAAGGGGACAATTTCAGTCGCTAGCACTGTACCAGGTGTAGAATGTCAGTCAACTACTCTTATGCAAACCCAGAATCCTGCTTTTGTTAAGTCTACCACGAATCCTGCCTATGGTGTTTCAACAACTGGCACATCAGTTCCATCAAACCAGGCTGCTAGAAGTACTGGTGGCAACACTACAAGTACAAATAATGAACTTGATTTGCCTCTTTATGTGGAATTTCAGTGATTATTTGAATACTTTGTCATTATATTGCATTGACCCGCATTGCGATTCACATTGTAATTACCTAAAGCAGACAATTCTCCCCAATATTCATTAGGGCATGCTCTATAATTGTTTGCCACACTCATCTTTGCTTAGACCAAGGTACTACCATACTCATACTCTCTATATCTCTCTCTTTCTTTCTTTCTCTCCCCCTCCTTCTCGCCATACAGTATCAGCAAATCTTGATTTTTAACACGTTTAACGTCATGTTGTACAATTTGTCGGCTTTCATCCGAAGTGCATTTACAACAGCGGTAAATAATTGATAGCCTTCAATCCTCTTCGATCTTCACAATTTTAAAAAAATTATAATTTTCCGCAGTGGAAAGGACGAGAGACTAATTGGTACAGTAAAACCTGGTGTAAGCGACCACCTGCTCTTAACGACCGTTTTTCCATGCACGGACAGTTCTACACAGACACTGTCGGACCTGGTTCTAAAGACCACCTGGCTTTAACGACCGCTTTTGCTTGCACTGTGGGGTGGTCGCTTGAACCAGGTTTTACTGTACATGTCATGACTACCCGTCCACCAATGTAACCACTTTTATCAGATCATAATTGATAGGTTAGTGCATGGCAGGGAGGGCCGCATGACTCGTTAGCACCCTTCATGTTGGCCCTCGGACCGTATCTCCAAAGCGCAAACCAGCAACCTTCCAACTTGGATACACCTGCAGGGGTACATCTGCAGGGATATATTTTGCTTTGAGATGTGGAATAACGAGAGAGGTTGAAAGCTCAGGCCCTTACATTATGCTTTTTTTTCCTAGCCACATGCATGTTATCAAAACTGATCGGTTACAACATTATGTTGCAAAAACGTTTCCATCAATTCGAATAACATGCATGATGAGCTAAGGCAAAAGCATAGCGTAGGGCCCTGAGCTTTCAAGCTCTCTCGTTTCATTTTTTCTATTTTTCTTTTTTTAACGCATAACCTGGGTTCGAACCCGCACTACCGCTCTACGCTGCATGCATTCCCTCAATAGACTTTGCATACATACACATTCTACCAAGTAAGTTGTGTCACTTTGTGATCCTGGCATTCCTGCAGTTCAACGCCCTTTTTCCACATGTGGCCAGCAGTCTTTGCCGGCATGGAACATGTACGGGATATCATCCGGATATGTCCAGCCATGGTGCCTCACATGATGACGGCCCTACGCCTACGGACCATACACGAAACAAGTTCAAGCATGTTAATAAAGACCACGTTTTTTCTCCTGCCGACTGGATGCCTGTTCGGGGGTCTCATGCTGTCGGCACATCTTGTCACAAAGTTGGCGAATCTCCAGATGGGATATTTGTTTCTCGGGAGGCAGCGGGACCTCTTCTTCCCATCTTTTTCGGCACTCCTGCCGACGCCGTCTCCTCAGAGCATCAACACTGTCACCCTAGCTGTTATTTTGCTCTTCCTCATAGTCCTCTGGCAATGATCTCGTCATTCTGTTTATACAACAAACGCGCTTACTAAAACATTGCAATCAAGCAGCACACCCCTTGGACATTTGATCCAACGTTTCTTGCTGTCGGCGTAGCCTTTCGCGAGCACGACGACTCCCGAGGCGGCGGGACCATCTTCTCCCACATTCTACTCTCTGTGTAGCCACTCCTGCCCACACCGTCTGCTCAGAGCTTCAATCCTGTCACCCCTGCCACCCCTGGTATTTTGCTCTTCCTCATAGTCCTCTGTTAATAATCTCAGAATTCTTTTCTTACAACAACCGCGCCCATTAACCCTTTATGTACCAGCCATCTAATTGTTAGGTACCACCTCCCGTACATGTCTAGCTGGCCTGCATGCCCTTGCGTACGCACCTTTTGTCTCCTTTTGCTCCGTTGGCCTGGGTAGCTACTTGCGCGCCCATATTTGCCATAGCTACCCAGGCCCTTTATCTTGCAGTTTAGACTTGATCTCACTCTCTCTTTCCTCACTCTTCAATGTAGTCGTTTCGTTCGTCTTGGTCTCTTGTCTCGTCGTCTACTAGTATAATAAATGTCGTTCCCACTAACTTGTTCCCGTTGTAATGTCTGGATACGTTGTCAGTCGTCCTGTTTCGAACTCAACATTGGCGCCCGATTATTGATCGACCCACGACCCTGAGATCATCCCATGCCCAGCCGTCACAACCACCATTCGTCTCGTCTATGTCAACCTCGTCTCGTCCATGTCAGTCTCGTCTCTCCTACGCCAACCTCGTCTCGTCTCTATCAACCTCGTCTCTCCTACGCCAACCTTACCTCGTCTATTCTCGTTCAAGCCATGCAGGTCAGCTACCTTTCTCTCTTTCTTTTTTTTTGTATGCTTCTTCGTCAAATTTATTTTCGTGATTTTTTTTGTAGTGTGTGCGCGCGCGTGTGTTCGTAAAACATAACCAAGTTAGGGGTCCGATCATGGTGAGCCACGCTCTAATTTTTGGATGTTTAGCAAAAGTGTAACTAGGCTGTATTAGCCGTGCAAAATACTAGTAATTCACGTTCCTCGTCAAACTCCAATAGTTATTACACACAATAAGTAGTACAGGAATGATGTGTACGAGTGCATTTTTAGTACACACTTTCGTGAGATCCATGCGCGCGTGCAGTATGTGTGTGTGTGTGTGTGTGTTTTCTCCTCCAGTTCATTTTTTTTTAAATCTTTTCCTCTCTTTTTTTTTTCTCTCCGCGAGGACGCGGGATTTTTTCATGGAGGGGTGGTATGTTAGGTATCACCTCCCGTACATTTCTAGCTGGCCTGCATGCCCTTGCGTACGCACCTTTTGTCTCCTTTTGCTCCGTTGGCCTGGGTAGCTACTTGCGCGCCCATATTTGCCATAGCTACCCAGGCCCTTTATCTTGCCGTTTAGACTTGATCTCACTCTCTCTTTCCTCACTCTTCAATGTAGTCGTTTCGTTCGTCTTGGTCTCTTGTCTCGTCGTCTACTAGTATAATAAATGTCGTTCCCACTAACTTGTTCCCGTTGTAATGTCTGGATACGTTGTCAGTCGTCCTGTTTCGAACTCAACATAATGTATGTTATTTTAAAACACTGCAATCTACCCTATCCTTACATTCCTGGCCCATTTGCAGCACACCATTAAACATTCGAACAATAATGCGACACCGTAAAGGTGTTTTAAAATCAAACCGCGAAAAATACAATACTACGATCTAAACCATACCGGTAATTTTTCGACGCACAATGGAACAAAGTCTTTTAGACAAATCCACAAAAATCAACAGTTTTAGTTAGCTAGCTACTTACACCGTCTAATTTTTTTAATGAAACCGCGACAAATACAATATTACGACCTAAATCATACCGCTAATTATTCGACGCACAATGCGACAAAGTCGTTTTAACAAATACACAATAATCAACAGTTTTAGTTAGCTAGCCACTTACCGGTATATCCTTTACCGAAATTGCATTCTTGAATGCAATATTCTTCCTACATTTTCTTCTACTCCGCTCCATCAGCAGCCAAAGGTAGGAGATAAGCACCCACTGGGCTAAGAAACGCACTACATACTCATTGTAGGCTATTCAGACAACGTTTCAATATGCGTCACGTTTTGGAACACGACATACTGGCAGACGTCGCTTTCATGCAGGTGCATTCTCTCAGGCACGCAAACGCTGCTCGTACAGCTGTACGTACAGCTTCTTTTGGACACAAAGTGCTCGGAACGACAGAACGAAACTTGGTACAGGGGTGTGGATACGTCGTCTACGTTTTCGTATCAGGGGTACGATTTTCCAGCCGTGTTCCATGTTGTCATGGCTATCCGTACGCCACGTTTTGGGCGTAGTGTGAATGGCCCATTACTCATTTTCAAACGTTTTCAAATCGTTTTCGTTCTCGTGTAGACGGTGAAAACATTGAACACGATTGGAAACGGAGCGCGGTCATGGAAACCATTCCGCGCGGGACTATATTTTCGCAGGATATATCCAACCTTTGCGCCCGCCAGCACGTGCCAACTCTTGCTAACGTGTTACTTTCCACCCTTGCGCCAAGCCAGCACATGCTAACTCCAGCCTGATTGCCCGTTTTCCGTTTTCGAAAACGACGTCTGCCAGTACGTCGTATTCCAAAACGTGATGCATATTGCATAAAATCGGGATGAGCATCCATGATTGAGTCACCAAGAGAAAGGATTTCGTATCCAGAGTTTCCAGTTTTTCAGTAAAATTCGGCGACAGAGTCAGCAATGAAAATGATTGTAACATCGTAGAAATGTACTCGCCCAATGTGTCAAGCGGTGAAAAAATCACGCTGCGAAACTGCACAGTCGTGAATTGTCACTCGATGAAATGACCACCTCGAAATGCCTCGCGACGAAATGTCACTCGGCTAACTGACCGGATACCTTCTGGCCTAACTCCGCGAGGCAAACCAGAGCTAGTGAAGGATGGATATGCCAACGTGCAAGACAAGAGAGAAAGAGACGAGACTATTTATTGGAGATGCGAAAAGAAAGACGACCTGTCCTGCAAAGGGCGCATGAAGACAGAGAGCAACAAGATAACAGGGTACAGTGGCAGCCACAACCACGCGCCTGACCTTACCTGGCTTCAAGTAGTCAAAGCCCTGACAGATTTAAAGACAAAGCCGCTACGAGTCAGGACTGTTCCCACCAGATTGCCGCCGAGGTTACTGGAGAAGTGGCCATGGAAGCTGTGGTGAACTTACCATCTTCCGTGGCTCTGAAGCGAACAGTGCGGAGAGCCCGGAATAGGGTCCAGCGGGTAATGCTCCGAAAATGTTCGTATGATGCTAATCATAATGCTCCAAAAACTACCTCATAATGCGTATTATAATGCTTCAACAAGGGGCATAATGCTCTTGGTTTGGGTCAGAAAAGAAGAAAGGCTGCACATTATTCAATCTGCCGCTGAATCCGGCGCAATATTTTCCACAAGCTCCACCACCTAGTAGCACTATAAGACAATATATTCGCCGGCGACTGCTCTCCATTGCAGCTCAGTTTGACGCAGGGCTATGGCTGAATAGTGTTTATCATATACCATCCCGGAATTATCAAAGTAGTGACAGGTGTAAACTGTGTTAAGGATCATTGGGAGTTTATCATGGCAACTGGTAGTCCTGCCTGCAGACAAGCAGTCACTGCATTGGTTCTGTGAATAATTTTTCATCTGAAACAGCATATACATGTATTAGGCTGATCTTGGATCCAGATCCCTTCCATTTGCGGCGAGCGTGAAACAAATGTGGCCAGATTATTTTGCTGCTCTACTTCCTTTACTTTTATAATCTTCTTCTCCTTGTGGTGTTGCATAGACAACTGGGTGACAACATTGACAAGAATACTCTTCTTTTGTTGATAGCACTAAGACTTGACTCAGTTACTGCTGTGTTGGGAGTACAGCTTTCCACACCTAACTGTACGTGTTTCATCAGGAAACTCAGGCACACGCAGCTGCAGAGTGCTCATGACGACTTGGTGCTGAATCCATGAGTAATTCTAGTTCTTTTCGAGCCAGTTCTGCTGAACTCCGCAAAAGCAGTTCGTCGGAACAACATGCATCGCTTTCTGCTTGTAGCTGCTCTTTCAGCCTGGTCAAAGGATCGGTGTCTACTTCAGTATGGTTACTAGCCTAGTGACGCTATCTTCAGAGCCTGAGTTACAACCAGAAACTTCTCTTCGGGTTTTCGATATTCAATTCGCCTCCAGGACTCTCTATGTTTTCGACAAAACAGTTTCCTCCTTGCTAATCCATTGTTGCGAATTTTTGCAACAGCTTTGGTTGGGCGCACGTAGATCATAGTAGATAGTGTGACTGACTGTCAACACAAAGGGATTCACGATCCAGTAACCTGGTAACACGAGGAGAGTTGAACCTGCCTCATGAATGTAGCCGATTGTTGCTAAAAAGCTGGGATTTCCCGATATTATCCACTATAAGTCCAAATGCCGCTCAAATCTTACAAAATGCTCGTTTTTTTCCATTTTAATGCTCAACAATGCTCTGATGCTCGGATAGTCCCATAATACTGCCGAATATAATGCTGGCATTATCCACTGGACCCTAACGACGGGACGTGGATCATGTCGCGAATATACAGGGTAAAGAGCAGTGGGCCGAGAACGGAGCCCTGTGGCACGACTCAACTGCACTGTGTGTAGCTTGACATACTTCCGCCAACAACTACACGCTGGTACCGGTCGCTGAGGTAACCATGGTAACTGCATGGAGCAAGCCAGGAATTCGCAGTGCCTGTCACACCCATGTTGTTGGAGAGCTCTTAGCTTCCAGCAGCAATTTGTGCTTGACAGAGTCGAACGCTTTGGACATGTCGACAAATGCTACGCCTGTTTCTTTCCGCTCATACTTGGCTAGCGGTTTACCGCCAGGTCCATCATGAAGGACCTGGCAGGGCACGACATCCCTTTGAAGAATGCCAGCGACCTAGAAGGAGCACGAGCATTTGCTGCAGACAAGTTGAAATGGAGATCAGACATTGTTTATGGATGAGTTTTTGTTGACTGGAGACAGAAGCGGACTTGGCTTAATTCAGTGTATTCTCATGCATTGTTCTTTGGCCTTTGTACGTGTGCTGTGGTATTATTATTATTATTATTATTATTATTATTCAAATAATCTACGTGGAGATAAAAGTTTAATAATAGCAATGAAAAGTATGAATGCCGCAGACATCACCACGCAACATGACAATTTGTTCAAGGTTTGGTTTTGTGTGTTTCCAAAATCGATTTTCACGTTGCGATCATCAGTGGAAATACGCAACTAAAGAGATCAAGGGAAAAACAAAGGTTAAAAATCCAAAGAAGTGTGACACATGACGGGTAACTTGTGGTAAGTATTACAAAAAGTGAGAACTAAAATAAAGAGTAAGGATGAGCTAGGTTTTCTGAAATCTGTGTTTCTCAAAAATGGTTACCCGGAGGAACTGCTAAACAAGCTACTAAAATCAGCATCAAAACCAAAGGTCGTCATCATTGGTCCAAGTCGTTGCCCAGTCTACCTTTCCTTACCTTGGAAAGGAGAGGCATCACAGACATTGTGCCGCACAATCAAAACGCTAGTTACACAAACATACTTTGCGGCGCACTTCATCCCTGTGTTCACTACGATACGTGCGTTCACGGTGAGGAAGGATGTCCTACCATCCCACCTATTGAGCCACTTGGTCTACCAATTTGAGTGCCGGAATTGTGATAGCCGGTACGTTGGTAGGACCCTTCAACACCTGAGCGCACGTATCAAGCAGCATGTACCACTTCACATGCTGCAGGACGCAGCAAAAGCGAAGCGCCCGAAGCGGGGAAGACCACGCAAGAACCCGCTCCCTCTACCACCGACACAACCAGAGCAAGTCGAACACACGGTGCAGAGGAAGAGTGGTGGATCACTAAGCCAACCGAATGTGCCTTCTCCACCGTTGCCCTTGCCGCCGCCGGAGCCACCACCAGTGCCGTTGGTGGCTGGGGTTGGGGAGGAGTTGGCAACAACAACAGTACCGCCAATCACAGAAATTGAGCCCATTTCTTTGACACAGTATCCGGCTGTGCGGACACCGCAGCACCCTCCGGCGATTGATCCGTGGGTCCAGAGACCACGGAGGTCGACCGCCAATTATTCAACCGAAATATATGCTAGGAATGGCCAAGGCCCACGCGGAGCATCGAAGGAGACCGGAAGCCGGGGGCAAAACGGAACACAATCTCGGGACGTAGATGAGGTAAGGACAGTGGCACGGGACAGACGTAGGAAGGAGAACATGGATGGTATCAGACGACTGACTGGTGGTGAATATGAGTTGGGTGATGATGCGGCGGATGACGAGAATACAGATGACGACGAGGCGGATGACGGCGAGGATACAGATGACGACGAGGCGGGTGATGACGAGGCGGCGGATGAAGACGAGGCGGATGACGGTGAGACGGCTGGTGGTGATGGTGATAAAACGGACGAGGAGGAGTCAGGTGGCAGGGAAGGTGATGGAGCTGATGAGGGTGAAATTCGTAAG